GAAAGGCGACAATCATAGTGGCCAAAATGCCAGCGAGAGTCCAAGTGATGACATCTGAAAATAAAAAGATGGAAGCCATTAAAAGATTTCAACACGAATGTACACGAAAGCATATGCGCATGTTAACCTGCGTGTTGTGTCCGTGTTTCTGCGAATGTATATGGATTTTCTTTGTATGTGCATGGAAAGTATCATCATCATCAGGGGGCTAACGCCGACGGGGGCGCATAGCCGCATCCACCCTTTGTTTGCACCTTTTGGGGTCCCTCATGGGAGGCCGTCAGGCAAGGACTCGACCCATCTCAAACTCCTCACAAGTTTGATCGATCTGCCCAAGCCACGACCTCCTTGATCGTCCCACAGGCCTCCTCCACCCATGGGTAGTCTCTTGCAGAGACAACCAAGTGGACAGGATCATCCAGAGTTGGCGATCACGGATTGTGCAGGTAACAGGGCCTGTGCCAGTCTCAGGGTGCAACCGTTGGTTGGACACGTGGTCCTGTCAACTGTAACCCATGATCCGGCACAATTACCTATTACAGAAGGCATCAAATCCAGACTCCAAGGCAAAGGATAATGTCCAGGTTTCACTACCATACAGCAAAAGCGGCATTATCAGTGCCTTAAATACCCGTAGCTTGGTCCTTCTGCACATGTACCGGCATCTCCAAATGTCAAGAGAGTTCATGACCCCTGCTGCCGGGCCAATCTGTCTGTTGACTTCCTGGTCTAACAGCCCAGAGTTATGAACTACACTACCACGGTATGTAAAGCTGTCTGTAACTTCAATGTCCTTGCCGCAAGCATGTACCAACCGAACAGGTTCTCCTAAAATATATATATATATATTATATATAATCCAAAGTCCTGGATCTTGGTCATGGTTCAGGAGACCTCTAGACCCAAGGGCTTCGCTTGATTACTCAATGCATCCAGAGCCACCACTAGGGTTTCCAGAGACAGATAGAATAGCAACATCATTGGCAAGGTCAAGGTCTGTAACCTTGATACTGCCCAGTGTTGCTCCACAATGACTTTGAACAGTAGCTCTGCCCGGTATCCAGTCCATACAAATATTGAAAAACGTTGGTGCGAGAACACAGCCTTGCCTCACTCCTGAACTAACAGGAAAGAAGCTCGACAAGCCCCCACTACACTTTACAGCACTTTCAGTACCAGTATACAGACTTGCTATTACTCCAATAATCCTTGCTGGAATTCCTCTCAGTCTCAGGATCTCCCAGAGTGATTCCTGATGCACCATATCGAAAACCTTCTTGAGATCAATGTAGGCTGCAAGCAGCTCACACCCGAACTCACACTCTACAGTGACTCATAGCGCAAGGATATGGTCTATTGTAGACATAACAGGAGTGATTCCAGATTGCTCCAGCCTCTGATGCCTCAGTAGGTGGTCTCTGACATGTCTCAGAAGGATGTGGGTAAGAACCTTGCCTGGTATACTGAGATGTGTGATGCCTCGGTGATTGCTGCAGTCCCAACGGTCCCCCTTCCCCTTCCAGAGAGGGATGACCTCAGACCTCAACAGGTGAGGGGGAACAGTACTGGACCGCCAGATGGCAGCCAAGACAGCATGCAACCCCTGTGCTATAGGTTCAACATCAGCCTTTAACAGTTCAGCTGGGGTGCCACAAACTCCTGCTTCTTTGCCACTCTTCATCTTGGAGATCGCCCCCCTGACTTCAGTTGAGGAGGATGGATCCTCACTGATGGGTGGGTCCGGCAACGGAATCACGGCACTACCCGCATCCAAGTTAACTGTTAGTGGGTCAACCTGGTACAACTGCTCAAAATACTCAGCCCAACACTTCCACACTGCAACAGGATTTGAGACGATCTGGCGACTTAATAAGCGAACTGCTGTCACCTGTGAAGGGAGCTTGGAGCTTCTTTCTCAGCGCTTGGTATTCAGGCCGAAGGTCAGTTACTAAGAAATGGCCTTCGACCTCATCAAGACTCCTAATAAACTGAAGTACAAGGTCTGTCAGATTGTTGAGTGCTGTGAAACGACCCGGAGGGTAGCCACAACCAATTTATGGTCAGTGCCACAGAACTTGGCACTTCTATACACCCTGCAATTCTGGAGGATCCTCCAACGAGTGTTAACGAGTATGTGGTCGATCTCCTTGGTAGTATTATCAGCATTGATGTACCACATCCAACAATGTGGATCTGGGGGCTGGTACCAGGAGCCAGAAATCCTCAATTTCTGGGACCTTAAAAAGTCCCGGAAAAGGAAGCTATTCTCGCTACCGGTATGAGCTCCTGAACCACGAGCACTGATAGACATCTTATAGCCAGCTCGATCACAGCCAGATACCACATTGAAGTCACCCAGGACAATACGATCGTGCCGCTGCCAGGTCTTCTCACCGAGAGAGCAGCCACCCCAACTCTCAGCCTCCCCAGTTCCCTCGATAGCAGAGGCAACCGATCATTCTGACGCAAAGAGTGGATGTTCCAAGCCCCCACCCTGACG